AAAAAAAAAAAAAAAAAAACGAAAACGAAAACAAACAGCTGTGTGTCATTTTTGAGATGAGTGTAAAATTTGGATTAGTTTTCAAGTCCTTTTAAAATTTACATTAAAAGTAAATAACAAAAATCCTAACTTAATGGTAAATTGCCGGTAAGATGGAAATGAATCACATAACTAAATAATTCACTTGGCCCATATTGATTCATTAGGGCCACTGAGAATATTTGAGTGCTCATGTAATTGGCTCCTGACAGATTTCCATGCAGCCATTCTTAGCAGCCACCTCTTGGTTGTTTATCAGTAAGTGATCCAAGTGTCCTCTCTAAAGTCTGCAAGATAATTTCATGTTGACTTCAGGAAGGTTCTAGTTCACTGATGGATGCTGATGGCTCTGGCTCTGATGCAGATGCCAATGCCGATGTATCTCTTTCTCTCTGTTGCTAAGGTGTAATGAAGAGCTGGACTGAGAAGTCCATTTGATGGTATAGTTTGGGGGATTGTCATTAAAACCAACTGGTGGGGAAGAAGAAGGAATTAAGAAGTTCCTTCTTGCATGACACCCTTCGCTATGTCAGAGACAATCTTCAGGTGCTGATCTGTGTGTTGATGCTAGGTAGGACCCTGGAGATTTAGCACCCCAATCATCTGAGCAGGTTCTTGTCTTATAAAAAGTCACTGGCCAAAAGCAGGAAGGCCGCTGTCCTTATCCAGTGTGTTTCCCTGAGAAAGTGACAGAATCCAGCCATTCCTTCAATGTTACTTGCCCTCATAAACACATGTGCACACACACTCCCAAGGAACCATGGTGGACAAGGAAGCATTCCTAATCATTTCTTTGCTATTCATTCTTCCATTTCACTAATTTTTATTGAGTGCTTATAATCTGCCGGACATGGTTCTAGGTGCTGGGGATACAGCAATGAATGAGACAAGACTAAATTTGTGCTCTCTGTCCTAGTTTCCTATGGCTCTCATAACAAGTACCACAAATTGGGGGGCTTATAAGAATAGAAATTTAATGTTTCACAGTTCTGGAGACTAGGAGTCTAAAATCAGAGTATCAGTCGTGCTGATTTCTTTTGAGGGCTCTGAGGGAGAATCTGTTCCATGCCTCTCTCCTAGCTTCTGGTGATGGCTAGTGATCCTTGGCGTTCCTTGACTTGTAGATGCAGCCCTCCAATCTCTGCCTCCATCTCAACCTGTCCGGCTTTCCTCTGTGTCTCTTCTTTTATAAAGATACCTATTCCAGTATGACCTCATGCTAACTTAACTGATAACATCTTCAAAGACACTATTTCCAAATAAGGTTACATTACAGGTACAGGAGTTAGGACTTCAACATATCTTTTGGGGAGACACAGTTCGATTCATAACACTCTCATTGAGCTGAAATACTAAACACTTAAAAGTAAAGAACTTGTAGAGAATATGCCTTAAGGTAGTTAAATCATACGGATTTTTTTAAAGTTTAAATTTTACATTTTTGAACAAATAGCTAGTATTTTCACAAGATACAAGATTCTAAATGCCCATGAGAGTGTACAGTTAACAGTCTTCCTCCTCCCTGCTCCCCTGGTCACCTTGCTGTTCTCCTCAGAGCAACCTTTGTTAAAGACAATAAAAAATTAAACAAATACATTTCTAATATTATCCAAGTAGGAAAAGGTACAATGATGAAAAACAAACCAGGATGTAGGGTTAGAGAGTTCAGTGGGTGAGCAGCAGGGGATGCTAGTGTAGATAGACGGCCCCCTGAGGTGGGAACTTTTGAAGGAAGTTGGGGAGTGAGCATGCAAACATGAAGGAAAAATGTTCAAGGGAGAAGGAATAGCCCTGAATTAGGAGCAGGATGTCCCATTAGCAAAGCACTGAGGCTAAGAGATATGTCGCTTTTGTGGGTAGTCATAACACAGACACGGGACTGGTCTCATGGAATCTCACGTCTTACTATTCACGTCCTCCTGGTACTACAGAGTGAGGTCAAGGAGACTGTCTGGTTCTATTTCCCCTCCTGGTGAATCTTCTAAATGGAATATATGCTCCTAGTTAACAACTGAATAAAGACATGAATGTACAACATAGACGGCAACAAGCCCTGCTAATTCCAAACCCCAGTGATAACCACTGTTTGACGTTGATTTTTCAGGATTTTTATATGCTTATATTAATTAGAAAGATATATATGTATTTTTTAAATGAGGGTCCTATCTTCTCTGCATTCCTTCTATGCCAGGTAGAACTTTGCATACGGTAGGTGCTCAGTGGCCCTGGGCTGACCCCCATTCTTTCCTTCCTTGCCTCCTCTCAGTTGATTAATCTCTACAGAGCATGCGTCCCCTTAATTACTTAACAGCCTGGGTCTCGCTGGTGCTTGTTCTGTTGGGAAGCTTTTGGCTTCATTGTCATTGCCTTGTAGCCACCTTCTGGGTAATTTTCATTTGACCACCTCGTCTACACATAACACCAGAGTTTAGGGGCTGGTTTGAAAGAGTGATCTTTTAAGTCCCATGTATTTTTATTGTTTTAATACAATAATGCAGTCATTGGGGTTTGGATGGAGAGTTGCTTAGAAAAAAGGGCATGAAATTGTTATTGTTTATAGGACAGCTGTCATTGCTTTCTCTGCAGCTTCGAGAGCTGTGCAAGGAAAATTCCTCTGTGAAAGGACAAATTGTTACTCTTGAAGAGAACATAAATGTCCATGAGATGGAGGCAAAGGCTAGCAGAGAGACGATCATGAGGCTGGCTGAAGAAGTAAACAGACAGCAGGAGAAAGCTGCCTCGTGTCTTGAAGAGAAAGACAAGCTGAACCAGGTACAGTACGTGAAGTGTGTGTATCCATCTGTGGTCGTGTTTATGAAGCTGAAATTGACAAAAACAGATGTAGGACAAGCACACGAGGACAATTGCCCACGATTTCTAAAGCTATGCTCTGAGGAGGAGGCTGGGGGTGGCGTGCCACTCTGTGACCTCAACTGGCTATTCGGTATTTTTTTTTCTAATTAGAAAAAAGGAAATACAAAACACTTAAAAGTAAAGAACTTGGAGAGACTATGCCTTACTTTAATAAATTATAAGATTTTTTTTTTAAAGTTTAAATTTTACATTTTTGAACAAATAGGTAATATACTCACAAGATATCAGATTCTAAATATACACAAAGGTATACGGTTAAAAGCCTTCCTCCTACCTCACTACTCCAGCCACCGCATTGTTCTCCGCAGAGGCTACCTCTGTTAACAATTGCTTATGTACCTTTGAGAACCATTGTATACACATATATGCATATAGGAGTCCCTGGGTGGTACACACAGTTAACGCGCTTGCGGATAACTGAAAGGTTGGTGGTCCGAGTCCACCCACATGCCTCAGAAGAAGGGCTGGTGATCTGCTTCCAAAATCAACCACTGAAAACCCTAGGGAGTGCAGTTGTAGTCTGACACATATGGAGTGACCATGAGTTGGGATCTGTGCGTATGTACATGTATATACATATTGTTTTTATTTATTTTTAACACAAATGGTAACAAGTACTGCACACTATATATTTTTCTTTTTATTATCTTTGGCACAAATGGTAACACTCTACACAATTATAAACAAGGTTGCTATGAATAATCTTGTATCATTTCTCATGTGTCAGAATATATCAGGGAAACAAAATCCTAGAAGGAGATTTGCTGTGTCAAAGGATGTGGGTCTTATAATTTTGAGGGATATTGCCAGAGGAAAGTGATTTTTAATTCTAGACTTTTATTTGTGCACTGAATTGCCCGATCTTTTCAAATTAGCTAGAACCTATTTGAACATGAGAATACCGTATGTTTTTAAACACTATATGATCCTTTGATTGTGTTTTTAAAATTTTGTGACAAAGAAATGAATCATGGGATTAATAGTAATGATCAGTTTCCAAAAGCAAAACTAAGCTGGTGCGATAAAGGAGATGAGTAGAGGGCCATCGAGGGTGAGGTAGACCTTTGATGAAATGGATCGACACAGTATTGCAATGATGGACTCAAACGTGCTGGTGATTGTGAGGATGATGCAGAACTGGGCAGTATTTTGTTCTGATGTACATACATAAGGTCGCCATGAGTTGAGTCCACTCAATGGTAGCTACCTACTTAGCTACGTAGCTACCTACCTTACCTTACCTACCTATCTATCTATCTCAAGGAGATGGAGTCTAAGTTTAGGTAATGACTGAAGCTCCATGCGGGGTGAAGACCCAGTGGTGTCTCCCAGGCTGTGAGGGGTGTGGTACCAGCGGGTGGAGGAAAAGTCTCCAACTTTGAGGAAACCTTCTTTAGGTCTTCCATATCTACAGTGACATCACTGCCAAGCTAAAGTGAGATGGGAGGTTGGAGCGTGACAGTGATCAACAGTAATTATAAAAAATCATACATTTCCTCTAATTCCCTACATCACAAAATCCTTTCCAGTGACTTTTTCCTCCTGACACATTATCTTTGTGGCAAGAGCAAATCTTCATGTCAGACAGACTTATATTTAAATCTGAATTACCTTCGGCAAGTTATATAACCTGTGGAAGCCTCAATGGTTTCTGTGTGCCAACTTGGCACAGTTGTGGTGAGAATTAAGTGGATTAGTGTATTGTGCTCATAATCCAGTGCCTGGCACATGGAAGCTACTAAAGGAATAGAGCTACTGTTACTATTGAGAATCTTAATATGAGTGAGCACCGATGGGTGTGATTTGATGACTTTGGTGATACTACCAGGGGTAAGCAGTGGTTTCCAGGTATTATTGCTGTGTACTGTTGAGTCAATTCTGACTCATAGCAACCCTATATGGCAGAGTAGAACTGTCCTATAGAGTTTCCTAGGCTGAAATCTTTACGGGAGCAGATCACCAAGTCTTTTCTTCAGCAGAGCCGCTGGTGGGTGCGAACTGCTGACCTTTCGGTTAGCAGCTAAGCGCTTAACTACTGCACTACCAGGGCCCCTTCCAGGTATTAAATAGTGTAAATAGCAACAAACCTGGCAAATTTAGAGTGTATATTCTTTGCAGAAGTGAGCAATATGTTAAAGAAAAATTTAACAAAGTTATATTCCATACATTTTGAGTTTTTAATGATATACTGAGCTCCAACAAAAAATATGTCTGAGTTGTCCTTTGACACTTGGTGGCTGAGAGAAGCACCCAGAGGGTGTAGAGCATCAGTTCACACTTAGCACAGCGCCTCATCCACATAGATCAGCAGCTTCTTGCTTTTTGAGCGAGAAACTAGGAGGAAACCTTCCAACTCGTGTACATACATGGGGTGTTTGGTAAGGGATTTGCCAAGATGTGTAAAAGCACTTAGTCATGTTTAGGAGACTTACTAAGTTCTTTGAAGTGTGACAGTAAGGACCTTATTAAACATTATCTTTTCCATGGAAATTTTTAGTTCCTTTTGATAATGAATGGTCAGACACTATAATAATCATTGTTATTAAGTAACTCCAGGAAATCCTCAACGACGTGACGTTTTTGCTTTTTAGGACTTTAAAGAGGTCTTTTGCAGCAGATTTGCGCAATGCGATACCTCGTTTGATTTCTTGTCCCATTGGAGGTAATACTAAGCTTGACTGCCAGTCACTTTAGTGTAAAGGTACATTCTTTCTCAACTTAAGTAAGGTATCCGTGGGATTGGATAAAGGTGATTCCTTTTCCCCAGTGACTTTTTCCCTAGTGATGTTAGCATCTGTCAATGCTTGCCTGTAACTATTACATCAATTAACATCTGAGTGCTTAACCACTGCACCACCAGGGCCCCATAACTATTAAATCAGGGGTGACAAATTGGTAATATTCTAATTTTTTATCATTCCTTCTACTTATTAGCTGGTATTCTTCTGTAAAGAAAAGTTTTCCTTTCTTTCTTTTTTCCTTTCCTTTTCTCTTCAATCCTGTGGGCACAAGGATTTTTATTTATTTGTTGTTATTATTATTAGGTGCTGTTGAGTCCGTTCCAAATCATAGCGACACTATGCACAACAGAACGAAACACTTACCAGTCCTGCACAATCCTCACAAGCGTTGCTATGTTTGAGCCAATTGTTGCAGCCACTGTGTCAGTCCATCTCCTGGAGGGTCTTCCTCTCTTTCACTGACCTTCTACTTTACCAAGCATGATGTCCTTCTCCAGGGACTGGTCCCTCCTGATAACATGTCCAAAATATGTGAGATGAAGTCTCGCCATCCTTGCTTCTAAGGAGAATTCTGGCTGTACTTCTTCCAAGACAAATTTGTTCTTTCTTTTGGTAGTACATAGTATATTCAGTATTCTTTGCCAACACCATAATTCAGTCATCAATTCTTTGGTCTTCCTTATTCATTGTCCAGCTTTCACATGCATATGAGGTTGAAAACACCACGGCTTGGGTCAGGTACATCTTAGTCCTTAAAGTGACATCTTTGCTTTTTGACACTTCAAAGAGATCTTTTGCAGCAGATTTGCCCAATGCAATATGTTGTTTGATTTCTTGACTGCTGCTTCCATGGGCTTTGATTGTGGATCCAAGTAAAATGAAATTCGTGACAACTTCAATATTTTCTTCGTTTATCATGCTGTTGCTTATTGGTCCAGTCGTGAGGATTTTTGTTTTCTTTATGTTGAGGTGTAATCCATACTGAGGGCTGTAGCCTTTGATCTTCATCAGTAAGTGCTTCAACTGCTCTTTGTTTTCAGCGAGCAAGGCTGCATCATCTACATATGAAAGGTTGTTAATGAGTCTTTCTCCAATCCTGATGCTGCATTCTTCATCATATAGTCCAGCTTCTTGGATTATATGTTCAGCATACAGATTGAATAAGTATGGTGAAAGGATATAACCCTGACACACACCTTTCCTGATTTTAAACCATGCAGTATCCCCTTGTTCTATTCCAACAACTGCCTCTTGGTCTGTGTACAGGTTCCTCATGAACACAATTAAGTGTTCTGAAATTCCCATTCTTTGTAACTTTATCCATAATTTGTTATGATCCACACAATCCAATGCTTTTGCATAATCAATAAAACACAGTTAAACATCTTTCTGGTATTCTCTGCTTTCAGCCAAGATCCATTTGACATAAGCAATGATATCCCTGGTTCCACGTCCTCTTCTGAATCTGGCTTGAATTTCTGCCAATTCCTTGTTGATGTACTGCTGGGAACATTTTTTAATTATCTTCAGCTAAATTTTACTAGCATGTGATATTAATGACATTGTTCGAGAATTTCCACATTCTGTTGGATCACCTTGCTTTGGAATGGACACAAATATGGACCTCTTCCAGCTGGTTGGCCAAGTAGCTGTCTTCTAAATTTCTTGGCATAGACAAGTGAGCACTTCCTGCATTGCAACTGTTTGCTGACGCATCTCAACTGGTATTCCATCAATTCCTGGAGCCTTTTTACCCCCTAGTGCTTTCAGTGCAGCTTGTACGTCTTCCTTCAGTACCATCGGTTCTTGATCATATGCTACCTCCTGAAATGGTTGAATGTTATTCTTTTTGTTATAGTGACTCTGTGCATTCCTTCCATCTTCTTTTGATGCCTCCTGTGTCATTCAATCTTTTACCTATAGAATCCACCAATATTGCTCTCAAGGACTGAGTTTTTTCTTCAGCTCTTTCAGCTTGAGAAATGCCAAGTGTGTTTTTCCCTTTTGGTTTTCTAACTCTAGGTCTTTGCACATTTTGTGATAGTAGTTTACTTTGTCTTCTCAGCTGCCCTTTGAAATCTTCTGTTCAGCTCTTTTACTTCATTTCTTCCATTCGCTTTAGCTACTCTACGTTCAAGAGCAAGTTTCAGAGTCTCT